TTATATACCCTTTTTTCTGCACATCGCATTATGTATAACTCCGACCATAATCGCAGTGTGGTGGTAAATGCAATAAACACGATGTTTGTAGCTTTTTCGCATTAAATCTAATTTGATAGGCTTTGTGCAAATATTTGCATTTAATCTGTTTGGATTGTTAATTAAATAAGCTCTTATTACATGCAGCACAAAAAATATATAAAATTGCATATCAATGGCAGGCGAACTGTCAAATGTCATACACAACTAAGTCTGCAAGTAAAAAGTGTTTTGAAAGCATTAAAACTGAGTTGGATTATTAATTAATTTGTTTATCCAATAATAAGTTATAAGTCACTTAACCACTCATAAAAATGCATACTATATTAAAGGCGATGGATTTATTGCTATCCATTAAAACCTTTGTTATATAATTTCAATATCTCTATTAATAAAAATATCACTACGGAAGTTGCAATGCTATAAAGCGTTGGTTGTTTTGAGAGTTGGCAAAAGTTCAGAATTATTTATATGAGAAAAATAGCTAAGACTACTCAGCAGCTGAGGAACTTTTATTTTTCATTCACCACATCTCCTTTGTTTTACCCACCGCCACTCAACTTCAGAAGTCCTCTCGAAGAGCTCTTTCCTTTCGCCCGAACTGAACAATGTTCATATATTTCCGTGAGAAGCACAAAGCATACTTAGGAGCTCCATTCGATGGCAAACTCGAGACCCACGTTTCCGTACCGCCCGCAGTCCAGAGAAATCAGGAGAAGATGGAGATGCCCGTGGCGCTGCGATGCTCCGCTTAATCAGCACTGGATGCGGCACATAACTCAGATATGTGGGATGGAAACCACCGGCAAAGGAGCCACCCATGGTCATAGCCTTCGTGCCAAAAAGGATGGCGTTTTCCTGGCTGGAGACGAGAAAGGAGAGCGCCCGCTGTTGCTTTTATGCTGCTCTGCACTTTAATTTTAAAACAAATGCTGGCAAGCTCCATACGAAATTCGGCACAGTCAGTCCAGCGGGTTGGAAAGAGAGATATAGAGTAATACAGAGAGAGAGGGATGTACACCACAGAAATCTTTTTATACCATGTATTTCTTCCCCACACTGTACAAACTATTTAATGTAATTTAAAAGTTGTACAGTTGATATTCAAATTATCTTGGAACTATATAGTCTAATATGTAATTCTTAAATTTTCATACAATTTGAAATTTCCAATTCAAGCCATTCATACAATAAATTCAGATTAACATAATTAAATGTTGTATATTTTGTGGTTACGAGAAGCACCCCAACAACAACAGGACCCAATATGGCTCACACCCGTTTGAAGATAAAATGGCTTAAAAGCCTTAAATTTCTTAATGCGGAAAGTACATATAATAATCGACTTTTCTTCCTGCTGAAGTGCCCAGAGAACAGCAAGTGGGCATCCAGGCGTGCCTAAACTGCAGTTGCAATCAAATCTTGGGGCAACCGCAGGAGCAGGCCACACTTACAGAGCTGTCTCTCACAAAATTAACCACAACAACTCGCAGTGCTCACACACACACTTCAGCACAACCGCACACACACTTGAATGAGAATTTCATATTACAGGATCGCATCGCTGCGGTTTGTTAGGAAACTTATTAGATTAGCAGGGGAGGCGGTGTCACCGAACCCCATTTTGGTTCTCGATTGGATGCAACAGGCTAAATGTTTGACCGACGAGCTGTCCGACCACAAACAGCTGTCAGTTGGGCCTATGCCATGTCCTGTGTCCTTTGATGGCCTGATTAAAGTGAGCCCCCATCCATTGACAAATTATAAGTACCCGCACTCAGGCTAATGACATGCCTTCCAACGAAAAGCCAAGAGGGATGGGGTTACGTACGTGCATAGTTGGCCAGGAATGATGGATGCATATATAAAAACCGCTCTTAGTTGGGGTTTGCCCCGTCCAGCAATAGATGACGAATAGCGCTGGCCATGGACATCCGTATCCCTATCCGTATCCGTATGCGCAGCTCTCGGAGGCAGCGCAAAAAAGCATGCTATGAAATTTTATTTATGCCACTTTTGGGGCTGCATGTCACATGTGCACAAAGGGCCATTGTCGTTTGCGGGCCACACAAAAAGCAAGTTGCATTGTGATTGACGAGATTGAGACAGTACTGATACCTCGTACTTATTTAAATGTACCTCATCTTCTTTATAGCTAAAGTAGCAACCTTCTATATTCCCTATACTACGAGTATACTCGTATGTTAGAATTTATAGCAAAACATTTGTAAAATGAAATTTTCCATCACTGTCAACCTGATTTCCATTATTGCAAATCCCATATGCAAAAAATACGTTACTAATTTGAAAGATGAATTAGATTTCCAGCATACGGAGATTTGCAGCTCTGCAGTTTTGTTGTCCGGGGAAAAGGGAATCGCAGAACTATAAATTTCATTTGTCACAGCAAATCCCCAGAGCGGCTTACAATGAAGTTCATTTCGCAGGCAACGGGGCGAACGAGAAAGACATTTTTACGTAGTTTGTGGCAAAGTCAAAAACAGCATAATGCATGTCGCACACTCGAACAGAGTCACAAACACACACTCATATGGATTCTCTGGGTGGGACAGCTGACACAAAAGCCACAGAGAACAATTTAGATATTTTCTAAAGATTTAAGCGCTTCACAAGCGACTCACAGGACATGGCAGGACGAGGGCAAAAGCTGTCGACAGCTTCGGTTACATAACTCTCTGTTCCTGGTCGCCTGTCTATTTGTTTGCCATTTAAATAAGCATACTTTCCGCTGGCCCAGAGACGGGCTGAAATAAATATGCAAAAATAAAACGAAAACACATTCATATTCATGTGACTATCCACAGCAGCTCGACATTATTACTTATGTTTATTTGCTGTTTGTCTCCTGCAGGTACGTACAGTAAGCCAAAGGTGCAGCATACCTATACCTCCTATACTTCTGCTCCTAAGTGGCTCACTCCGACATTTGCATACGGATGACGATGTATCTGTTGCTCGCTGCAGCTCCATATGTGTGCTCCATATGGGCCAGCCCTTGAGTGTCTTAAGTTCCGGGTAAGTGGGAACTTTTTCTGAATTCCGGCAAGTGGTGGCTCGAGTGGTTATCCTGGCAAAGGGGTTTTTGAGCTATGAAATGTTTGTGGATCCTCAGACGAATTCTTTGCACCAACACTCGCACTCGCACACGCACACACACAATAGTGACCCCAATTGGTGCCCAGCTTGTGGGTGAATATGGAGCGAAATCTCACTTTTGCATATGTGCTCTGCTCCGAATGTGAATAAATTTAATTTACTACTTGACTTTAAGGTGCTGCGACTTGGCTGGGGATTGCGAAAGTCAAATGGCAGCCACTCAGGCGGAAGAATATCAACGCAATTTTGTAGAGAAAATACAACTTGCCTTTGCTTTCTCATAAATATTTATATACCAGCGCCTGTGCCAAAGAAAAGGCATGATAGTTGATTTTGTTTAGGAATAATAAATCGAGCATACAAATCTTTCCTCTACCGGACTGACCGCGTTTTAGCAAAACTATTTATAATTCATATACGTGTATGTACGGCAGTATTTATATATTTCACATACTTCAAGATAAGGCATATGCATTCATAAGACATTTGGTTATGTCAAAACTTGAAATTACCCACATCAAGCTAATTTCCTTAGCCGTGGGTACTTGCCACCGATGTAATTAACCCACTTGCACGGCAACTGCAACGCTGGCGAATTGCATGCCACTGTGGTGCGGCAGAGGCCACAAGGAGAAGCGCTAAAAATCCGAAAAGGGCGCGCAAAAATTTGCCTCGTTTTTAATGGCTCACATTGTCGATTTTGTGTATGCGTGTGCGTGGTTTTGTGGGTGTGTGTGTGTGTGCGCGCGTTCATAAGAGCCTTAACTGACCAGCAAAAGCAAATACGCACCCACACTCGCACACCCATCGAGGCAAAGGATCGTCCAGGACGACGCTTTAAAAAGTCATTTCGGTTTGCTCCTTTTTTTATACTTTTTGTGGATGGATACTCCTGGTATCGCCCAGGATGGATGGCACATCGTTTAAAGCGACCACAACAGCTGGAAAAAATCGTTGGGCGGATTATAAAGCACTTAAACGATTTTAAGCGCAATTATGTTGGCAGTAGCACGTAGCGGTCGCCCTTTCCGTTTAATTTTTGAGCACTTCCCAAGGGGTTTTCTCATTAGGTTTTCAATTTAAAGCTGCATTACGTTTTTTCTTTTCCATTCGAGAAAGAAGAGTATATATTTTATTAAAACAACAAGAGGGTGCCGGAGAAGAGCTGCCGGCAGATAACCTGAAACAACAGGAGCTGGAAACTCGGACTGCCGTGCAACAATTAGAACGTCAGCTTACCGGAAAAAAGTTTGCATTCCATTTATGCTCGTTGCGATTTATTTACGGCAAAAAAGTTCTACTTCTAGTTCTGGTCAGCGTTTCTTAAAGGCCACCACCAGCTTGCAGAATGAGTATGGTGAAGGGGCGGGGGCAGCATCCGCCGCCGAGTTCGCTCTTTTGTTGCCACAATAAACTTCCGGCCTTAAATTTCAATTGCCTGGCCGTGTATAGGTGGAAAACAAAATGGCAGACCGTTCGCCAAGTTATCCCTGCAATGGCTTCTGACATTAATTAGCCCAAACATGTTGAAACAGAGCAGCACTCCCCCTTGGTAGATAATGGCACGGCAAAGTTTTCGGCCATCTGCAGGTGCATAATGGACCTGGCCAAGAGCATCCTTATTCAATGCTGGGCTGGCTGCCGGGCAGCCTGTTTATTATGCAATTTATCGGGGACCGAAAGTGCAGAGTACACTTCACCAGGCCATTCTGCTCCTTAAAGCTAATAACAATAAGAATTGGACGAAGAACATAAAAGCATATATCAATTTTTAAGCGAAACCTCATTTCTAGACTTTTATAGTTTCTAACCTAAATAAAAAGTAAAAGAGTAAGCAAGGTAAATTAGTTTCATTATTTATATTGAGCATTTTTAATGGTACTAGTGTTCAGTGTATCATCATCCTTATCATTCCCTTGAGGCCGGATCCATATATTGGTTTGGGTTGATCTGTCGGATATCGACGTATCGCATGGTATCTTATCTTTCTGGACTTCCCGGAAGATCTTTTCGTCATCATGCTTCTGGCCAAACAAGAACTTCCACCGCGGTCCAATCGTTGGATTCTCCAGACTTTTCATTCCCACGAGATCCATTCACATCAATAATCCCCGTGGCCTTAGGTTTTCTGGGTTTCGTGGTGGTCAGAGCTCTCTTTTTTGTGACTTTCGCGGCAGGACGCCTTTTGCCCTGAGTCGGCGCCTTGGATAAGTGCAATTTGTTTCTCTTTTCTGATTTTCTGGCCTGGTTTGTTTTGACCCCTTTTAAAGCTGCTTTCCTCCTGGTCGACTGAAGCTTTGTCTTTGCTATGTATTTCAACATCGGACCCAGGGGCCTGGGAAACTCATCGCAGCTGGACACAGGATCATCGATGGTTATTCCTGCTCGCTGCGGTTCCTTCGCATATTTCGAGGAACCAGCTTTAAATTCCATATTGATGTAAAAATTAACTTAGAAATTTTCAATCTATGTCTGCTCGTGCTGAATGCTGAAAACTGGAAGTGTGTGAGAGGTGTAAAATGAAATCAGCAAACATATTTGACACCAGAAACATGGCTACTTCGTTAATGGCATTTAATTTGCAGTATTAATTTGACAAGGATTTCGCTCGGCAATTTATCGCATGTCCTTCTCGGGTTTCGCTCTTCGGTGCTGCACGGTTGTGGCTAACTCTATATAATGGCAGAAAGTTCACACTTCCGTTGGCTGAACTTTGTCCACTACCGCAGTCGGGCGTTGTTGTTGTGTCTGCTGAAGTTTTGTCCAAATGGCAGCTCTATTTGCTATTTGTTATTTGCTATTTGCACTTGCAGCAGTGCTAAATATATTTCAAACAAAAGCCAAACAAACAGCTGACAACGGCAACAGCGAATGTCAGCCGGAAGGAAGTTCAACTTAAATAACGGATATTGGCTTAAATAAACAATGGCGTTCGACGCCGGCTCCTCCCCGCTCTCTCTCTCCCTCTCTCTCATTCTGTAGTTCTTTCCCTTTCTGGTGGCTTTTGCTCTATGGAAGTCGCAAAGCGGAAGTCGTCTGGCCGCCATTTTGTGGTCGTAGCGCTTAAGTTAACCCTTCTTCTTGGCATTGTTTGGTCGATGAGTGCAACAGCTGTGTTTGTGCAACTTCTTCCGTCGGCTTAATTGCCTGTTAATTAGCGTAGATGCAGCTCGTGTGTACACACGTATCTTTCGCTGGGCTCCAATCTGGCCAGGTTCTGATTGTCTTTCCCCGAAATAAAAAATACGTCTGCACATGTCACATGTGCCTGGCCGTGACATGCCATTGATGGAATTTAACAACTGTGCAAATATTTGACATCCGCACGGTTCACTGCCTCCGCCTCCGCCTGCCGTTTGCCCTCCATGGGACCAATCCCAGAACCAGAATCGGTCACTGGCGCGTGAGAGGGCGAAAATTGGCTGCATTTCGTCGATTCGTAGCGACAAAAAAAAAAAAAAAACGTAGGTGAAAGCTTTCGCCTACAGGTGAAGCCAATATTAGTGTTGCATGCCCCATTGCTTCTGGTGCAAAACGTTGCCAACGCGCTTGATGCGCTTTAAAAGTTTGCCAATTAAGAAAATCAACTCAGAAAAGAGTAGTAACATAAGTGTATGTTTAAATATTCAAATCCCAACAGCATGAGCAGAAATTGTATAATATTTCATTTTAAAACTATATCAGTGACTAAACTGTTATCTCACAGGAACTGTCCCTTACAATACTGACTTTCTAAACGAGCAGTTACCTATTATTTGCAAACTTGCTTTCTAAGTATGCCTAGATAAACAAATACAAAACGGAACTTGAAAGTTGCTCCTGTGCAAAGGAAGTTAGCTACTTATAACGTAATTCCCCTCTCACATCCGCTGTGAGCAAGTCACAGAGCATTCAAATTATTTCCACACCCAACGACTACGATGGCGACAATGTTTGCCCAGGCGGGCAGGAAAAAGAAATGGGTGTGAAAAAGTGCAGAGCAGGAAAGGAGGTCCTGCAGCCGGCAGGAAACCATTCGGTTAGGTAGTCTGAACGAATGCCCAACCGACGCTAAAAGGATAAGCGCATTAAAGCATTTACTTTGCGATTGCAATGCGAATCAGGCCGGAGCGCATTAGTACCTACATATATACAATGTGTTTATATCGAAAGTGGAGGCCACTCGATCCGGCTGCAACAAGGACATGCACATGTATGTTGGAGGACTGCGCCAGAAGCCGTTGTTGCCCATTCCCACACAAAAGCGCAACAAACATGCAACAGCCTCCGGCAGATGGGCTCCAAATGCAGCTGCAAAGGACAAAGAGCACATTGCACTTTGGACCCACTTAATCCCGCCCATTGTGTTAGCCTTATTATGACGCCCAGCACACAAGAGTCCTACTAGTTCCACTCCTCTTCGTCCCGGTCCCCTAGAAGCCAGTTCAATTTGAAAAGTGAGGAAAAAAAGAATTCTGGCAAAGCCTTGACGACAGTTTTATGCTTTATCAGCAGCGGCGTCGCCAAAGCTGGAAAAACTTGTTTGTTTTTCCTACGCTTCGTCTCCTGTAATGAACGGCATTGTCTGTCTGCTTTGCCTGTTGGCGGGAAAGGGGGTGCAAAAAGTGGGTGCTGAAAAGGGGGGTTCGGAAAAGTCCTTCGCCTTTTCAGCCGCGTGTGTTAAGGTTACACTTTGTTCGCTCCACTCGCGACCAGACGGCGCCAGTCGACCCTCAATGGCAACGAAAGCAGCAGTTACATCAACCTCTTGGCATTGGCCATTTGCCGGAGCAATTTTTGGCAACCATTGGCAAATCGATAATTTCGCCATGAAGTCATGTTGCTACAACTAAAACATATTTAAAGCCAATTCGAGTGTGGGCAGCGCTTCCAGCAGGAGGCTTCTGAATATAAAGAGGTCCTTGCGTAATGGATAAGAGCCTTGGGGCGTAGAACTCGTGAAATGTTTTTGAAGTAAGATGAAAATGAATGAAAAGGGTCTGACATTTAGAACGTCATTATCTAAGGCAGGGTTCCTTTTAAGTATTTCTGTTTAAAATACTTGTCCCTAATATGATTGATGAGTTAATATTGAGTTTGCCTTATACAGATATTTACTAGTTAATGTGCTGAAAATCAGATTTTCTTATTTTTATTTCAAAAACATGGAAATGAATAGCAACTTTACTCCCATTCCCATTGAAATGGAAGCAAAATAATGCTGTTAAATCATTTTGTGAGAGCCACGACTGATGCTTTTAATTTACTACCAATGATAATTCGATTTATTTGCGAAAATTATTGAAAGTGCAATAACTCTGCTGGCAATGTATTAATGATATCACTTAATGTGAATAAAAGTCCGTTTGTGAATAGCTTAATGACTCATGCAACGATTACCCGGTGTGAAATGGCCTTTGTCGGAATTAATAAAAAGTCCTTTTTTGTCGACTTAAATCAAGGATCTGTACGCCTGTCAGCTGATTCGCATACAAATTGGCTTGGATGAAAACTAATTAAATTTAACAACATTATGTGGCCACTGTCGGTGGGCTTTAATGAATGAGCTGGCAGTCAACTGGACACTCAATCAATTGGCCCAAACAAAACCTAATTATGCTGCGCAAAAATTGAAACCCAATAAATCAATTTAATGTCTAGGAACACGCACATGGCCAAGTCAACCGTCCTTCCCTCATTTAAGTTGCCCCAAACTCGAGTTTTCTAGGTCACGTCCAGAGCGCGATATTTTTCCGCATTTTTTCTTAGTGAGCTTCGTTGCTTCCTATTTTCCCAGACAAATGGCGTCGCACTTTGGTGGCGCCACTTTGTGTTGCCCCGGTTGTTGTCGCCACCACCACCACCGTCACCGCTGCTGCCACATCCAGCACTCGGGAATGCCCCAGAACCGGGATCCACCTCGTTGCCCGTCCGACTGCTTGTCACTGCCAATTTTTAGTGCAGCCATTCCTTTGGCAGCCCGGCTGGGGATAAATCCAGCGGCCCGTTATCGGGTGTTATGCCCCACCAGGGGAGCCACCCGGATCCGTATTGATTTCCCATGCCACGGCTCCTTTTCAGGCATTAAAGTTGCAGCCGGCGAAAGCGGCAGCGACATGGATAGTTATAGTTATAGTTCCGTTTGCAGCTCTCGAATCCATCAACAGCTGTCAAATTGCTCTGGCCATTCATGGCTTTATGTTCTTGCAACGGCCATGTTGCCTGCGCAGTTTTTATGGTCCATACTGTTTTTTTTTTACAGTTAGTTAGAGCTTCAAATTGATACACGAAATAGGGAGTTTCCATTTGAGAGCTCCTTGAAGAGTTGAATTTACTGCGAGACTAGGAAATGTTTTGTTCGCACCAAGTAGATCATATTGAACTTCAGTTTGCATCAGTTTGAGTTTTTGTTTCAGTCAATGGAGAAATGTGTTTCCATCTGTTGTCCTAGCAATTAACCATAAAATGGTACATATATGCTGCTCCTCCGAGAAGTTCAAGTGTTTGATTTCAATGCTCAACATTTTATGTAGATTACTTTTATCCCTGCCAGGCCATCCTATATCCTATTTGCTTTGTAACACTTACACTCGAATGGCTTACGTAAGCCATTTGCTTGGCCATATATTTTATTTATGCCTCATGGGCGCTTAGCTATTCTGGGTTTTCGTGGTAATTTACTCCATGGAATCACTTTCACTCGACCAACTCCTTTCAGTCCGTACGATTACCGCCAGAGACAAGTGCATTCTTGGCTGTCGGTTGTAGTTCTTCCCATCAATTGACATCTGGAGCCCGGTTATTGATGGCTTTTATTGCATTGCTCGATTCATTTGTTGCGGATGCGGTGGCGGATGGCAGATGGCGGATGGCGGATGGCGGAAGTTGGATGCTGAATGCTATATGTTACTGGTGGCTGCAGGGGCATCCTTTCATTTCGTGGCACATTGCATCGAGCCAAGTGCTCGACGTCAATCACATTTCACATTTCCTTTGTAACAAATCCGCTGGCACAGCGCTTGTCGATGGCATCGGCAGCCAGTCATGTTAAATTACGTGCAATTAAAATCTAATGCACAAGCGTATGTCTGTGTGTGTAGGACTAACCCGGGGAGATACTCAAACATTGACGGATGCCCGGATTGATGCTCCATTGGTTGCCGGAGGGGCTATCGACATCGTTGCGGTAATTAATAAGCTACGACCGGCGGGCCACGGGTCGTATGCTTTATGGGCCACAGCTGCAGCAGCTCGGCTAAACTATTTATGCAGCAATTGAGTTTGGGGAGGGGGAGGAGGGAAAAAAACAGCATTTCCAATTTGGCGCGCTGCAAACTGCATTTTCCGTGGGCGGGCACAGGACACCGCGACCCAAAAATTGTAACGAGTTAATTTAACGCCCCAGGGCCGAGTGTGGGAAAATATGATGACATCTTTGTAGCCGTGCGAAAGTGCCTTTGCAAAAGCAATTTCAATTAGTGAGTGCGCCCCCAAAAATGTGGCCGTAAAACTGAAAATTTAATCACCAGCGAATGGCACTTGGATACCA